TGTTCCGTCGCCCACTGCGACCGGATGCCCAACTCGGCGATCACTAAGGGGATCGTCCCGTACTCGCCATTCGCGTGGCGTCTCCTCGCGTCAGCCAAACGTGCCTCCAAAGTGTCAGCTACACCCGCATCAACTACGGGGTCGACCATGGCGACTATCGTTGCTGCCGGCCTACGAACGACTTAGTAGGTGCAAAAGTCGGCTCCTATCTGAAGGTCGCGTGTTCGTTCCACGCTCACCGCACCATGCGAAGATTCACTCTACAACGGCAGTGAGCTAGACTACAGGGTTGGCACGAACTACTAGAGGTGATCTCAGCTTTGCTTGGTTCCTTAGTGCTTGCACATTCACAGGAGAAATTGGCAAGAGTTTTCACTAGCAAAGTTGGAATTACAGAATTGAATCAAAGAAGCAATGACAACGATGACTACATCAGGCACCTAGCAACCCTGCAGCTAGCCTGGTCGACTGCCAGCGCAGCTCGGTCGACCGCCTGCCAGCATTGCGTAGAGGAGCCGCGCCAGCACTGCAGAAGGGCGACCTGCCAACAAAGCAGGTCGACGGCGTGCCCCGTAGAACACAGCAGTGCGCGCGCTCGCAGGTGTGCGCAGACGATTGGTCCAACTTGCCTCGTTGGGCATCCGTCGGCTGTTGTCTGCGCCTGACGAGCCACATCGACTTCGGGATACCAGCCCAAAGTCGCCTGCGCCATCGCGATCTCGACGGCATTCGCGTGCCTCCGCAGAACTCGTCGAGCAGGTTACCCAGTCGACCTGGTCGATCCCTGGTGCTCTGGTCGACTCCCAGGTGCCTCCCGTCGACCACTGGGTCTCTCTGGTCGACCACCGGATGCTCCTGGTCGACCACACCTCCCGTCAAGCTACCCCTTGGTCGACGGACCCCTTCCGTCGACCAGAACTGCTCCGTCGACCTCCCGGTCGAACTGCAGTTCGACGGGATGCTCCGTAGACCTCCCCGTCGAACTGTAGGTCGACGGACTGCTTCGTCGACCTCCCGGACGGCTCACCCGTCGCCCAGGCCAGTCAGTTGCAGCTGTCGAGCATCCTGGTCGACAGCAACACCACAGCGGTCCGCTGCCGCTCGACGTAACCTGTCGAGCAGCTATCCCACTGTGAACAGTCGGCTGCTACTCCCGTGCATCCGACCAAGTCGTCGGCGTTGCCCAAGCGAGGGCGGGGCCAACACTCCATTCCCGTTAACACTATTCGTGTTTTTCTGTCACATACGTACATTCGGACTGCGCTGCCTCCAACTTCTCTTCGCACGGGTCGCCGCGCTGATCGGTGTCGCGGGCAGACAAATACAAAAAGAATTATGTTTAATGCCGAAATGAAGTCAACATTTTTTGTTTTACACTGTAAGCGAGACTAAATGAGATGGCACCGTCGGAGCTCGCAGGGCAACCGCGCAACAGGATTTAGACGCAAGAGCGGTCAAGATAAACAGACAAAGAAACAGAAAAACGTAAATACTGAATCAAAACCTCATTGTTTTGTATTTTCCTTAAATGTTCTGACAGGTTCGATTTGCGTCCTCTGATTGGCTGCGGAACTGATTCGTGCAATGATCCAGTCAAGATGCAAGATTTCTGTTAACAGGAATGGAGTGTTGGCCCCGCCCTCGCTTGGGCAACGCCGACGACTTGGTCGGATGCACGGGAGTAGCAGCCGACCGTTCACAGTGGGATAGCTGCTCGATAGGTTACGTCGAGCTGCAGCGGACCGCTGTGGTGTAGCTGTCGACCAAGGAGCTCGACAGCTGCAACTGACTGGTTTGTGCGACGGGTGGGCCGTCCGGGAAGTCGACGAAGCAGTCCGTCGACCTACAGTTCGACCGGGAGGTCGACAGAGCAGTTCTGGTCGACGGAAGGGGTCCGTCGACCAAGGGGTAGCTCGACGGGAGTTGTGGTCAACCAGGAGCGCCTGGTGGTCGACCAGAGGGATCGAGTGGTCGACCAGAGGCACCTGGCGGTCGACCAGAGCACCAGGGGTCGACCAGGTCGACCGGGTAACCTGCGCGACGAGTTCTGCGAAGGCTTGCGAACGTCGTCGAGATCGCGATGGCGCAAGCGACTTCGGACTGGTATCCCGAAGTCGATGTGGCTCGTCAGGCGCAGACAACAGCCGACGGATGCCCAACGAGGCAAGTTGGACCAATCGTCTGCGCACACCTGCGAGCGCGCGCACTGCTGTGTTCTACGGGGCACGCCGTCGACCTGCTTTGTTGGCAGGTCGCCCTTCTGCAGTGCTGGCGCGGCTCCTCTACGCAATGCTGGCAGGCGGTCGACCGAGCTGCGCTGGCGGTCGACCAGGCTAGCTGCAGGGTTGCTAGGTGCCTAAGTAAGTCATTGTTGTATCGCTTCTTTAACCATTCTGGATTCTCAACTTTGCTAGTGAAAACTCTTGCCAATTGCTCTCGTGAATATGCAAGCACTAAGGAACCAAGCAAAGCTACGATCACCTTTAGTAGTTCGTGCCAACCCTGTAGTCTAGCTCACAACCGTTGTAGAGTGTATCTCGGCATGGTGCGGTGAGCGTGGATCGAACGCGCGACCTTCAGATAGGAGCCGACTTCTGCACCTACTAAGTCGTTCGTAGGCCGGCAGCAGCGATAGTCGCCATGGTCGACCCCGTGGTTGATGCGGGTGTAAAGGACACCTTGGAGGCACGTTTGGCTGACGCGAGGAGACGCCACGCGAATGGCGAGTACGGGACGATCCCCTTGGTGATCGCCGAGTTGGGCATCCGGTCGCAGTGGGCGACGGAACACCCTTCCCGTCCTACTTCTCCTCGACCGGTGCGCAACGAAGGTGGCGTCGACGACGAGGTCGACGGTGGTGCACGAGTCAGCGGCAGCGAAGGCACGAGGCAGAGAGGAGTGATCAAGGTCGACGGTGGTGTCGACGGAATCCAGGCGCGAGTGCAGCGGTCGATGGCGGCTGTGTCGTAAAACTAACACAATAGGTTGTTAGGAGAATAGTTCGGCCTAGGCTTAGTAGCCTAGGCCAAGGAGGATCGAGTTGGTTGTGCCAAGGGAGGAGAGTCGAGAAAGTTGGAAAGTGTTGTTTCACTATAGGTTTCAAAGAACATATAGGATAGGAAACAAAGAAGGTGCACCACCAAACTAGGTTTATAATAAGTACACTAACTACAGCTGCAGGCAGTTATAGATATAAACTCTGACACTCCCCCATAACTGCCTGCAGCAGGAGTTTGTGCAGAACACAACCTGCAGGGGTACACAAATAGCAGCAGCAGTAGGTAGGTAGGTAGGTAGTACAGCAGCAAAGGTACAGCAAGAGTTCCTGCTATCTCCTCACCCTCCCCCTCCCCCTCCCCCCCACACTGCTGCAGAAGCTGCAGAGGGGGGAAGAGAGGAGAGGTGGAGGGACGGCTACTGGATGGTCTCACACCCGCCACCCCAGTGCCACTCCCCCAGCTCCCCCACACCCTCACACCCTCCCCCCAGCGGTAACTGCAGCAGCGGGAAAGAAAGGAGGTGGAGGAGGGGAAGGGAAGTTGGTCCCACACCCGCCATCCCAATGCGACACCCCCAGCTCCCCCACACCCTCACACCCTCCCCCCAGCGGCAGCTGCAGCAGTGGGAAAGAAAGGAGGAGGAGGGGAAGGGAAGCATACCACCCATCACCCCAACACCCGCCACCCCCATACCCTCCCCCCCACGGCTGCAGGGAAACGAAGGAGGAGGGGGTGGACGGGTGGAAAGCCGCAGAGCGGCTACAGTTGGTCGGCGCGGGTAGGTCAGGGGCGGCTGCAGGGAGTGCAGGCGCGGGGAGAGGTAGAGGCGGGTGCACCAAGTGCAGGCGTGAGTGAGACACCGCCGAGTGCGCCAGGGGCGGGTACGCGGCGGCTCAGGTAGGTAGTGCACCGTCGCACGCAACGGGGCGCACGATGGGCAGGGCACCGTTGCGTGCCACGGGGCGCACGACGGGCAGGGCACCGTCGCGTGCCACGGGGCGCGCGACGGGCAGTTCAGGTAGGTAGGAAGTTTAGGTACCCGTCGCACGCCACGGGGCGCACGACAGGCAGGGTAGATGTCACTCGCCATCCGAGGGCGGGACATTAATGAAAATCGCCACGCGACCTAGGCGCGCGACCGGAAAAGAACAGCAGCGGAAGCATACGGCGGGCCCACAGGCCAGGATGAAATTTGCTCTGATAGCATGTCGTAAAACTAACACAATAGGTAGTTAGGAGAATAGTTCGGCCTAGGCTTAGTAGCCTAGGCCAAGGAGGATCGAGTTGGTTGTGCCAAGGGAGGAGAGTCGAGAAAGTTGGAAAGTGTTGTTTCACTATAGGTTTCAAAGAACATATAGGATAGGAAACAAAGAAGGTGCACCACCAAACTAGGTTTATAATAACTACACTAACTACAGCTACAGGCAGTTATAGATATAAACTCTGACAGGCTGCAGGCAGCTCGCACGCCGACGTCGATGTTCGACGTCCCTCTCCTCTCCTCCACGAAGTGGTGGAGGGCTCTCGGTGACAACACACGTGACAGCGGGCGGGATTGCACCGGCGTATGGCTACTTCAAGTTCTCGCCGGACCGGATCGCCGTCGCTCCGCTGCAAGGTCGACGGGACCTCATCACCTGGAGGGAGTCGATCGAACCTCAACTGGAGGTCGCCGGGCTGAAGGGCTTCGCCGACGGCACCGTGCCAATTCCGCCCGAGGAGGATGTCGGGCTGCGCGGGGAGTTTCGTTCTGCTCACCTGCTCACCTTTATGGTCATCTTGAGGTGCTGCTCGCCAGTGGTGCAGCTAGCACTGAGGAGCTGTCGAGAGCGACTGGATGCTGGTCACCAGGCATGGCGCTTCATCATATCGACGTACCAGGTCAGGGACGACCTGTACATCGGACAGCCAGAGGAGAAGATGACTCACATTCGGATGGGCGAGCAGGAGTCGGTGACGGATTACTGCAACCGTGCTCGACGGATCCTGGCTGAGATGCGAATGGCGGGCGCCGAATACTCGACGGCGCCCTACATCACTCACATCGTCAAGGGCTTGCCGCGCAGCTACAATCTCATGAAGAGGATGATGATGGTGCCCGGCACGCGTGAGTCCCTTGACGAGGACACCATCACCAACTACATCCTTCAAGATGAGGCGATGCAGGAGGCCGAACAGCCCACAGAGCTCCTTCTGCAGGCGAACTACGTTGCATCGACAAAGCTGAATCAGCAGCAAGGGCAGCGCGGGAAGCCGGGCGGAAGTGGTAGCGGAGGTGGGCGGTTGACAAAGGACGTCGACGAGAAGCGGTCGACTCGGGACAAGGGTCGACGAGGTGGTGGTCGACGGCGGGAGTGCTGGGTCTGCGGCGACCCCGACCATCTCTCCTTCGAGTGCCCCGACCGCGATGACAGCGACGAGGACGACAACAGGGGAGGCCGTGGTCGATCGGCCAGTCGTCGCCCCCGTCGAGATGAGAAGCCGCGCAAGGAGAAACAAGCGTCGAAGAAGACGTCGTCGACGAAGGACGTCGATAGCTTCAGCGGCAAGAGCCGAGGCGACGGGGAGGCGTCGTGCTCGATGGTCGGCGTCGTGGAGCCGACGGTCTCGCTGGCGCCGGAGGCTGGCGAGGACTTCCAGGCAGTGGCGGCAGCTGTTCAGGCCAACCCGATGGCGGTGCTGCTCGACAGCGGGTGCTCCCACCACCTGATGGGGACGAAGTCGGTCTTCGTCGACATGGGGCCGAGCGACGGGGTGAAGCACGTGTGTGGGTTCAACAGGGCATTGCAGCCTGTCGAGGGTCGCGGAACCGTCGCTCTGCAAGGGGAGGCTGGGAAGCGGGTCCTCATCCCCGACGTACTCTACGTTCCGGGCGTACAGGCAAACCTGTTGTCTGCTGGCCAGCTGAAGGAGCGGAGTGCTTCTGCAGGGCGATGGCGATGAGATGCTGCTCGTCGCCGCGACTGGGGAGGTGCTCGGTCGAGCACGCTACACCGGACGGGTACTCTGCACCGACCTTCGCCCCTGCTCGACGCAGTCGCCGTCGACCGAGGTGGTGGCTCTGCGGACGATCATCTCAGCGACGAAGACGACCCCCGACAGGATGCATGCGCGGCTTGCACACGTCAGCGTCGACACGATCAAGAGCTCGGCAAAGCATGATGTTGCTACTGGGCTCGACATCAGGTTGTCGACCGGAGCAGACCCGCCGTGTGTCTCGTGCGTCGGAGGAAAGCTGGCGCGGCACACCTTCCCTGCCAAGGGCTCGGACGCAGCAGAGGCGCTGGCTGTCGTGCACATTGACTTGTGCGGGCCATTTCGAGTAGCTGCCAAGGATGGCAGCTTGTACTTTCTGCTGCTGAAGGATCGCCATACTCGATTTGTATGGGCAATGCCGGTCGCTAGGAAGAGCGACGTGCTGCGGGAGTTTCAGCGGTGGCTGGCGCTAGTGGAACGACAGACGAAGAAGTCGGTGCTGTCGCTTCGCTCCAATCAAGGAGGGGAGTTCCTTGGGAAGGCGTTCACCGACTTCGTCGACGGGAAGGGCATCGTCCACGACCTGACGTGCCCCTACACTCCGCTGCAGAATGGCATGGCTGAGCGGGAGATGCGCACGGTCGTCGAGTCCGTACGGACGATGCTACTGCACATGGGCGTGCAGCATCACTGGTGGCACCTTGCTCTACGACAAGCGGTCTGGGTGCGCAACTGCTTGGAGCGGTCGATGACGCCGCCGGGAACGACTCCGTACCAGCTGCTGACCGGGCAGAGGCCCGACCTTACGCTAGCACGGGTGTGGGGCTGCATGGTAGTTCATGGTTCCCGAGCAGCACCGAGGTGGGAAGCTGGCGCCCAAGGCTCGTTGAGGGCTTCACCTGGGTGTGTCGCCGGAGAGCAAGGGCTGGGAGGTGCTCGACCTGACCAACAACAAGGTGGTCACGTCGGTCGAGGTGATCTTCTACGAGACGCTGTCGCTGGAGGTGTGGAAGGCGAAGTATGGGCCGGCGTCGGAGCGAACGCAGGCGCACCCGCCGACGGACACCTCGACGGCGACGGTTCCCCTGCTCGCCGAAGTCGACGAGCCTGCTGATGAAGATGTTGTGGAGATTCTTCCACCTCCCCCTGTTCTTGCTCCTCCCTCTCCCGTCGCCGATCTGCCTGCGTTGAGACCTGTGTCGGCCACCGATGATGAGGGGAGCCTTGAGGCGTCGCCAGTGGCGCCGGCCAGTGGCATCGCCGGCGGACGACAAGGCGCCAAGCTCGTCGACCACGATGGGAAGCCGTCGACGAGAGGGGAGCACCACACAGGGGAGCCGGTCGAACAGGAGGAATCGGCAGGGGTACAGTCGACAGGGGAGCGTCAGCCGGAGCAGTCGACAGGAGAGTTGTCGAAGGCAGCAGCAGAGGAACAGCCGGTCGAAGGGTCGAAGCAGCTGGTCGACGACGTTCTCGTTGATGAGAAAGGGGAGCTGTCGGCGGGTGAGTCCACCGACAATGATGTAATGGAAGTGCCGATCACGAAGCCCGAGCTGCGACGTACAGGTCGAGCTCGACGGCCGCCGGAGCGGTTGTGCTTACATGCCTGCTTACCGCCAGCTACCTTCACCACCGTGTAAGACGAGGTCAACGACGACCTGCTGTACGATGATGCCGAGGAGGATGAAGACCTGCTGGAGCTCAACCCTGACGTGCATGCCGACCCCGAACACTGTTGGGACATCGCCACGATGACGGTGAAGGAGGCGCTGTCGAGCTGGAAAGGTGAGGCGGTGAAGGCCGCCATGGAAGAAGAAATCCGTAGCCTCATCGCTATGGGGACTTGGGAGCTGGTCGAACGCCCACGCGGGGTGAACATCATGAAGAACCGATGGGTGTTGACGACCAAGTACCGCATCGACGACACCGTCGAGCGCGAGAAGGCGAGGCTAGTCGTGAAGGGCTTCACGCAGGTGTACGGCGCTGACTACGACGAGACATACTCCCCGGTGAGCAGCTACGTCACGCTGAGGATCTTCCTCAGCATAGTCGCCGTCCTCGATCTCAACCTAATGCAGCTCGACATGAAGAATGCTTTCCTGCAGAGCAAGCTTGACAGGGTGCTCTACATGTACCAGCCGGACTATTTCAACGACGGGACCGGCCGGGTGTGTAAGCTGCTGAAGAGCCTCTACGGGCTGAAGCAGTCGCCGCTGCTGTGGTACAGGGCTCTCGACGGTGTGCTGCTGGGCGCTGGCTGGAAGAAGAGCCAGGTCGACGAGGCACTCTACTTCAAGGTCGGAGACAACGGAGTGACCTGCTGGGTGCTGGTCTACGTCGACGACCTGCTTGCCGCTAGCAGCAGCACCGCGATGCTAAAGGAGCTGCTAGAGGCCGCCTTCGAGCTACGTGAGATCTCGCCGGTGGTGAAGTACCTTGGGCTGGAGATTGTGCGCGACAGGCCGGCCAGGAAGCTGTGGCTGCACCAGCAGGGCTACGCCGACAAGCTGCGCAGGCGCTTCATCGACGAGGAGCAGGGCGGCCGAGTCCCGAAGACGCCAGTCTCGGTTGACGCCTACGCTCAGCTGACGTTCGACGACGAGGAGGCTCGAGAGCGCGAGGAGGAGGAGTACCGGCAGAAGGTCGGCTCGCTGCAGTTTGCGGCGACGACGACCAGGCCGGACATTGCGTTCGCCTGCAGCAAGCTGGGGAGCGGCCTCACGGTGAGGAGCGACCAGCATTGGCGCGAGGTCGACCGCTGTCTCGCCTACCTCGCCGACACTCGTGACACTGCCCTGGAGTTTGGCGGTGGACCAGAATTGTTGGAGCTGATCGGCTACGTTGATGCCGACGACGCGGGCGACAAGCAGAACCGGACGAGCACGGGAGGCTACGTGTTCGTCTACGGAGGGGCCGCAAACTCCTGGTCGAGCTCGCGCATCAAGTGCGCGACATTGTCATCGACCGAGTCGGAGTACGTGGTGGCAACGGACGCCGGCAAAGAGGGGCGTCGACTTCGCTTCCTCCTTGCGGAATTCAAGCTGCTCGACGCTGGGAAGCCGACCATCCTCCGCGTCGACAACAAGTCGGCAATCACGGTCGCTGAGGGCTTGGGGCTGACGGGCAACCTCAAGCACATGGAGCGACGCTACGCCTGGCTGCAGCACATGGTGAGGCGCGGGAAATTTGTGCTGAACTACATCCCTACCACCGAGCAGCCGGCGGACTGTCAGAATCCCAACCACTATACCATTGGGATAAAAGGGCTTGTTTCAGTAGCGGGTCAGTGCGCCCATAACCCCCCAGGCAAACGCGCCTGTAACCCCCCCTAGGATCGATCGGGGATCTCACAGTGTAGCTCTACTGACACCCCCCCACACTGGGAGGCCCAGGAATGAGCACAGTGGCAACGGCCAACATGTGCATACACCGAGATTCGAACCCGAGACCGCTCTGATACCATGTCAGAATCCCAACCACTATACCATTGGGATAAAAGGGCTTGTTTCAGTAGCGGGTCAGTGCGCCCATAACCCCCCAGGCAAACGCGCCTGTAACCCCCCCTAGGATCGATCGGGGATCTTACAGTGTAGCTCTACTGACACGGACTTCCTGACGAAAGCGCTGCATTTTCCGGCTTTCAACCGGTGCTCTGTCTCCATCGGCCAAGTTCGCCTGGTCGACGTCGGCGACGGCGACGACGAGGTGCAGCAGTAGGTGCCGTGCCCTTCTGCACGGCTGGTGCGGTGACGGCGTGCTGTGTGTGGGGTGCACGCCGAGGACGAGTTTTCTCTGTGGCGTACTGCCGTGTGGGCTGGAGGCCCAAGCGTGAGTGCGGCAGGGGAGTGTTAACAGGAATGGAGTGTTGGCCCCGCCCTCGCTTGGGCAACGCCGACGACTTGATCGGATGCACGGGAGTAGCAGCCGACCGTTCACAGTGGGATAGCTTCTCGACAGGTTACGTCGAGCTGCAGCGGACCGCTGTGGTGTTACTGTCGACCAAGGAGCTCGACAGCTGCAACTGACTGGTTTGTGCGACGGGTGGGCCGTCCGGGAAGTCGACGAAGCAGTCCGTCGACCTACAGTTCGACCGGGAGGTCGACAGAGCAGTTTTGGTCGACGGAAGGGGTCCGTCGACCAGGGGGTAGCTCGACGGGAGTTGTGGTCAACCAGGAGCGCCTGGTGGTCGACCAGAGGGATCCAGTGGTCGACCAGAAGCACCTGGGGGTCGACCAGAGCACCAGGGGTCGACCAGGTCGACCGGGTAGCCTGCTCGACGAGTTCTGCGAAGGCTCGCAAACGTCGTCGAGATTGCGATGGCGCAGGCGACTTCAGACTGGTATCCCGAAGTCGATGTGGCTCGTCAGGCGCAGACAACAGCCGACGGATGCCCAACGAGGCAAGTCGGGCCAATCATCTGCGCACACCTGCGAGCGCGCGCACTGCTGTATTCTACGGGGCACGCCGTCGACCTGCTTTGTTGGCAGGTCGCCCTTCTGCAGTGCTGGCGCGGCTCCTCTACGCAATGCTGGCAGGCGGTCGACCGAGCTGCGCTGGCGGTCGACCAGGCTAGCTGCAGGGTTGCTAGGTGCCTGATGTAGTCGTTGTGTTATTGCTTCTTTAACCATTCTGGATTCTCAACTTTGCTAGTGAAAACTCTTGCCAATTTCTCTCGTGAATATGCAAGCACTAAGGAACCAAGCAAAGCTACGATCACCTTTAGTAGTTCGTGCCAACCCTGTAGTCTAGCTCACAACTGTTGTAGAGTGTATCTCGGCAATTTCCCGCCAAAAATGGGACTGTAGAGGAGGGGATACACCTAGGACTTATGTGAAAAATCCACTCGTTGGGGAAATGGGACTCTCTTAGGAAGAGCCTCTAAGCCAGAACACCTAGGACTTAGGTGAAGAATCTACTCGTTGGGGAAATGGGACTCTCTTAGGAAGAGCCTCTAAAGCCAAAACATCTGTACCATTGCGAAAAAGGGCAGTTCGAAAAAAAACGTAAAAGTTACTCTGCTGCAACTTTCACGATATTTTTTTTACGTCAGGTAAAAGTCAAGGTTCTAAATCTGCATACCGAACGTGACTTGCAAAGCAACTTTCCCGTCACTCTTCTTTCACTAACAGTACACATTGACTCAACTGACCAAGTAAACAGTAAAGCAACTTCCCCGTCAATTTAGAGCAACTTTTGCGAAAGTGTCTCGACAACGCCACGTGGCGTACGACGTACTCGAGATGAAACTCCAACGTGCTGACATGGCGAACACCGTACTCTAACATAAACCGTCGGATGCAAATCTGATTGACGCACGTGATCCTGCCCTGTGGACCAATCAGAGCCTGATATTGGTCTATAGTAACATCATACGATTGACTGGCAATTACTGCAAACTCCCTGCGACAAATCTGATCGACGTGGCAATTCCGAAGGTACACTTTCATGTATATCCTCATTCTTCATATAGTTTTCACAACGCATACACTCACTTGGTTTCTACACCTACGCCTAACTTGTAATGCACTGCTAAGTGTCTATACCTGCTTCTCTACCCAACCTTACGACAATCACTACGCATATGCACAGCTAACAAGTTGCAACCTCTGCAGAGTTAGCCAACTAATTTAACCTGCAAGAACAAAGAAAAGAAAAACATGGTGAACAAGCGAGAAATTACAACTTTCTGCCACTCACCATTCGCCTGTGGGATGTTGTTGCTAGTGCAGTCAACGGAATGTCGAAAATAGTTGAACGAGAGGATTGAGTTAAGTTGAAACTAGGGCCTAGGCTTAGGAGCCTAGGCCCGAGATTAGGTGTCGAGTAGTTCTTGCCTAGGGTGAGGTTCGAGTGAGTTGGAAGAGAAGTTGGGAAGAATGTGTTTCACTATAGGTTTCGAAGAACATATAGCAAAGGAAACAAATAAGGTGCACCACAAAACAAAGTTTAAATAACTACACTAACTACAGCTACAGGCAGTTACAAATATAAGTTCTGACACTCCCCCATAACTGCCTGCAGCAGGAGTGTGTGCAGAATACAACCTGCAGGTGTACACATGCAAAACAATAACAAACAAGCAACAGCAGGAACTGCAGGCGGGCTGACATTAACTGGTCACCCCTTCCATCTCCTCACCCTCCTCCTTCCCCTCCCCCACACTGCTGCAAGAGCAGCAGAGAAGGGGGGAAGAGAGGAGAGGTGGAGGGACGGCTGCTGGTTGCCTCACACCCGCCACCCCGGTGCCACTCCCCCTGCTCCCCCACACCCTCACACCCTCCCCCCCAGCGGCAGCTGCAGCAGTGGGTACGAAAGGAGGAGGAGGGGAAGGGAAGGAGACGACCCAACACTCCAACACCCGCCACCCCCATACCCTCCTCCCCACGGCTGCAGGAAGACAAAGGAGGAGGGGGTGGGGGGAAGAAAGCCGCAGAGCGGCTAAACTGTGTCGGCGCTGATAGGTTAGGGGCGGCTGCAGGGAGAGCAGGGGCGGAAAGGCCCGTCGCGTGCCACGGGGCGCACGACGGGTAAGTTTAAGTGAAATGGCCCGATCGTGTGCCTCGGGGCGCACGACGAGCAGGGCACCGTCGCGTGCCACGAGGCGCACGACGAGCAGGTTTAGGGCACCGTCGCGTGCCAC